CACAGGGCATAAAAAACATTTAAAAATATGTCAACAAAATATAAAAGTTCTATCTGAGTCTGGGGAGAGGGGAGGCGTCTGGGGAGGGGGGAGGCCTGGTTGTTTTTTGTTGTTGTTTCTTACTTTGCTGAGGTGTACATTCACTTCAATCTGTTTGATCAAAAGGTTGTAATCCTTATTAATGTAATATATTTGTAATGTCATTTGAATAGGCCTATGACTGAAAACCACAGCCTCAGTCCTCGTTCTACAGCCTGACTCCTGGATCTACAGCCGGTCCGTGCGAGGGGGCGGATCCCTCTTCTTGTCGAGCTTTCTCAATTCTTTCCCCACTGGGTTTTGGAGTCGTTCCTTGCTGATGCAGGAGGGTCTGCGGCAGGGGTCTCCAACCTGTAGCCCGGGAGCCACCAGTAGCTCTCCACCTTCCCGGTAGCTCGCCAAATCAAATAATATTCTGTAATGCGGTTTTCCCAGGACGGCTTAAAAGAGTAGCTCTGTCTTTTTGGTCTTGGGAAAGTAGCTCTCTGGGTGAAAAAAGTTGGAGACGCCTGATCTATGGACCGTATTGATCCGGGACATTTAAAGACAATTAATTCACTTTTATGGACATTTGTCATCTCGCTCGCCATGAACCAATGACTTCTATGTGTTTGTTATTATTGCGTTTATTTGAACTGTTTGATCTGCTGTTGGTGACAACTTTGTGAAGTTCTCTGAGACTACGCTGTTGTGATTTAGGGCTAAATGCAAATACATTTACCTGAAATCTTCCACACTATGGTCGTAAATTTTTCCCATCTACATTTGAGACTAGTTACGGATCATATCTACGGGAAAGATGGGTATGTGCAACTTTCATTTACACTTTATTTGAGCGTTAAAACATTTGGGATTAAGCAATGTACAACTTCAATAGTCAGCCATACTGAGAAAAATCACTCCATCTCCATGGCAACCAGTAGGAAGCAGCCCCTCCCATCAAAAAAGCTGCACAGTACACCTTTAATGTTTTAACCAGGATACGCACAAACACAAGCACAAAAATAAACTGGCTCCAAATCAACACCGGTCCTCTTCAGATGATCAAGACGGAGTATCTCGGTGGGCTGGCATCGATCGGGTCCACATGGGATCTGCGGGTATAGGAGGAAGTTCTGGGAGAGCTGCCTGAAATGTGTCAATGGAAATGCCTGGGAGCTACTGTATCTTCTGTCTGGGTGTTTGGGAGCGGGCAGGAGAAACCACTGGCCCACATTCAGAGCGCTGTGTGGAGGCAGGCGGCGTGTGCGAGTCGGAGCTGAGCACAATTAAGCCTGATGTGGGTGGAAGCAGAAGAGGCTGATTGCATTAGAGAAGTTTGACTATAGGGGAGAGCTGGGGGCGTCCGGAGGGTTTCATTCTTCTATTTTTAAAGGGAGTCTTGTCTTTGTGACTTTTCCAAGAGTGGATTCAATTAGATAGTGGCAGGTTGGGTTCTTGTCAGGCAGGATGTGTCACAGACCTATAAGGTAAATCCACATGTTTATATATGTTCCCAATCCGTGTACCCTTCGATCATTAGTTATTCCGTTTCAAAATAAAATCCCATTCACTGGTTGGAAGGTTTATATTCACTGAAAGTTGTTTTCTTGTTTTGTTTCTGGTCATAAACCAACACTGTGCACCGTTTTAGTCACAAAACTACTGTTTATTGATGCCAGGAAAGTCGGAATTGATCTCAACTATTTTACTTTAGCTTGATGTGCATCTGCCCATCTAAGAGCGGACACTGCCCACACACCACACTGCCCACTTGTGGAGCCACAGAGCAGCACTGACTCAGTACAGTGACGAAGCTGCTGAGACCTGCTGGTCATGTCCTGCAGAGCTGCACATCTTACTTTGCAGTTTGAATAGAATACAGATGATGAATGTTTGTTCCTGTAACCAGTTTGATGAGCTGGATTTGAACATGTGCCTCTGGACACAGACCACAAACTACTTTACATTAAACTCACCTTTGGTCTTTAATCCTACTGTCTTCATTTACACTGGTAAGTCAATCATCTGTATTTATTGCACTGTTTACAGTGTTGTGCATTATTCATAAGCAACTGCTGCTGAGGCCAAAGCTGCCCTGAGGCAGACTGACGAGGTGAGGCTTTCAATCTGCATCACTGTATCTGATCAAATGAGACTGATGACTCTGTCAGACATTAAAGAATCTCATCTCCATGACAACAACTTTACAGTGAAATGTTATTGATGGCTTTAAACAATGTTCTTTAAACGATGCGCCAGACACATTATACATAGTTTGTATTCATTGAGATTTTTTAATAGGGTCAGTGTTACTAATTTATTGTATTTTATGCTATGTGTGAATTTCATTCCAATGTGTTTTTTTTAACTGCAAATGATAAATTAAAGTGGACTTGACAATCATTACCGTTGCACTGACTCTTCTGCTCTCTACAGCCACAGTCTCCTTAAATACTCACTATAAGAACACGCAGTTGAGTGAATTCTTACAGGCACTGGTCACAGAATGCTCTTGATCTGATTGCCACCCTCTCCCAGAACACTTACTGTTGTCAGCACAGGAGTCACAGCCCTGTTTAGTATTTGTGCTGTTGTTTATCATGCATCTGGTGCATGGACTATGAATGCTAATTAACCTTCACCTTCACACAGACCGATTGTTGCATCCTCAGGCCATTGTGCATATCATTAAGACTATTATTGTGTTCAGAAGCCACTGTACCATGCACACGTCTCTGTCTTCCAGCCTTTGTGTCTCATCCTTAGTCATTTTTCTGTTGTGTATTCCTTAAAAGTGTGACGACATGTCCGTCTCTGGAACCAAACGCATCAGAACCATCAAATGTTGTAAACCAGAAGAAAAACTCCAAGCTTCAAGAGAGACCTTTGTCCACATTCCCCTGAGGAGAGGGTCAGTTATGTCAGTGACATTTGAAACATTAAACACACAATTACAGTTTATCACAGGTGAGAAGATAAAGGTTGGATGAGGATGTATACAGCATCTTAAAAAAATATCTATTCACCCAACTGTGGGGAAATGTCTTTTTAACATATGAGATTATACACATTGGACTTCAGTGGGATTATTGTATTTGATCACATCCTTTCAACTATTTTCTTCTCATTAGTGTGCCAACATTAATACATAGGTTACTGTATAGTGTTAAGTATCGTATTTATACGAGGATAAAGACTTGTTTACTACATAAACTATTAAATAAACCATATAAAGTATAGTTTAAACCCAGCCATGTTCTGTTCACCAGCTCTACTTTTGGTCTTCCTGCTTTGAACTGTCGCTTATTTTCTCATTGATTATTAAACATCTATAAGAGATTTAGGTGACAACTGAGATTGTCATGATATCTCATAAATAAATGAGATGTTATGATTAAAGGAGTGTCATGTGAAAACTTTGTAATCACGCTCTGGTGAGACAACATGGCCTCATTTATCAGGTTATTGTTGTAACTTTGTGTTCCAGCAGCAGTGCAATTAATAAAGGCTGTTTACAAAAAAAATGTTTCTGTATCCGACAGACGGAAGATTAAAGCTTCAAATCTTCATCAAAACATTTCCTCTGCAGCATATGGAGCTCTCGTCTCAGAGGAGTCTAGGGCAAAATACCTGCATCAGTTTTAAAGCTTCAAGTTAGGGACACTGGTGGAATCATGAGGATGATTTTAACTTGGAAAGAGGCCAACAGCAGAGGATGCACTGAGATGTGTAATTACACGTATGATCTATGGAGGGGCGTATGCATTCATAGTAAGAGTGAAGAGTTTGAAGTTGAAAATGCTGCTGATGTCTCAGTTCAATCACTCGACACAATGCTCCAGATATTCAAATGCAAATGTTCTGAAAGATCACACGGAGGTCTCTGGATTAGAAAGGCAGAGCCAGAGTCAAAAACGAGGTAAGGCTTAAAGTCTTTGAATCCTGCATGTTATCGTCCCCAAAGCAAATCTTTGCTCAACCACACTGACAAAGCCAGGCTTTGTATGTGTGCTGCGGGTAAAGGACGCCCTCCAGTGGCTGATCAGTGTATTACCTAAAAGCAAAATACCAGTCTAATGGCGTTTAATGGTTTATTTTTAAAATGTTCTAAGAACAATTAGGTTATTACTTCCCGTGGTACGTTCTTACATGTTCCCACCATAAGAAAAATGATCTATATGTAGTTCTCATTGTCATGGTTACATTACAATCCCAAACACCTGCAGCCATGTTTGGCTTTCACCCAAAGTCGTACTAGTGCTGCTCCGGCCTGTTACTAATGCCAATACTGACTTCATCTTAAGAACCTTACTATGTTTATGCTGAAGTTAAATATTAGAAAAGATACAGAACAATTTGACCAAAAACGCCCTGAAAAGGCTATTTGATGATACACCTTTGTGAAGTTGCCGACTGCTGTTGTGTCCTTAGGCAGGACACTACACCCCCATTGCCTAGAATGAGTCTGGTGTGTGTGAATGGTTTGGGTGGGAGGGGGCGACGGCACATACTAGTTGCCTCACTTCTGTCAGTGTGCCCCAGGGCAGCTGTGGCTCCAATAGTAGTTTATCACCATGTATGGAGTGAAATAATAACATGAAGCATCCAAAAAAAGCGCTATATAAAAGCGCTGGTGCATTATTATAAACACATGATTCCATACCTGATTCTGAATACCATCTCTTAACTATTCCCAAATGTTAAACTTTATTTTAACTTTTGTCCCAGGTTTGGTCACATCAAAGGAAATGTATATCTATTCCTGTGATAATTCACAAGACTTCAGGGTCCAGACAATGTGGCATATAATATTTCAGGCATTAATTTGGTCCATTTCTAGAATTGCCCTGCTGTAGATGAAAAGTGGCCCAAAAGCAAAGGTCAAATAATGGCGGAGTCAATGATCTTTTTTTTTTTCAAATTTAATTGACAATATACAAGAACATCTTGCAGACGCAGACCTCCCAGGCAGTCCAGGCTCACTGCAAAAGAAAAATGAGTGACCATGAACACAATACAAAGGGCAGATTCATTACTACCATGTGGTCATAAAAAGGACTTAAGAAAAACACATTCAAGTCTAGTCTCAGGGTTCTATTGAGGCTCCTGCCAGTCAATAATCCAGCTTCTATGAGCTGAAGGTTTGGAACAATCTGAGCACATGTTTGAACAGACAGGGAAGACTTCTGAGCTAACAGCGCTAACATGCACAGGACTAACAGCTCTAAGTGTGGCACTCTGAGCCTTTGTACCTGAAAGATTATTTCTGCAGAACAAATCCATGGAAGCAAAGTAAACCAGGTGACAAATATTCAGAAAAAATTATAATGGAACTAATGGAAAAGGAGATGGAAATAAAACATGTGGGACAAACTGTGATATTAGTCAAAGCACTCTTGTGAAACTGTCAAAGGGTTTTACAATTTTTTACAAAGGGCTGGAAGCTTGGATGCTTTTAGGAGTCATTTTGAGGTACTTCAGCTCAAAATATTAGTCCAAGTGCAGAAACTTTGAATGCAAAAACTTGGTCACGTAAAAAAAGGTTGTTCATTCAAAGGTTTAGCATCCAAAGAGGAGTGACACCTTTGCACAACTACACACTGCACTGTTAGCCTGAGTTTACCTTCTATAGATCCACATGGACATAGATGGGAAGGATAAAGGAATTCATGAAATGTACAGCATACAGTACAATTCGTAAAAGAAAGACTAAACTTAATCACAGCGGTCAGACAGACAGCAGCCTTACCTTTTTGCCAGCAGCACCAACAGACGCCTTCTTGATGCCCCTGACCTTCTTCATTCTGTTCTTGCGTTCCTTGCGCTGTTTTCTTGAGGTCTTTTTCTTCTCATAGAGTCCGTGCTAATGAAACATTCAAGAGTTAGAAAGTCAAAGAAATGAGAGGATCAGTCACCGAGTCAGGGTGTAGGACAGTAGACTATTGGGTCGTGGTTTTGATATGAGTTTTTTTCCCTTTAAAATCTATGTAGCGATTAATTGCACCAATGAGATTTGATTTACATTTGGCCCAGTAAAAGTGATACAGCAGTAGAGACATTCTGATAGCTGAATGCCTCGACACAACATTTCCAAACAAAACCTATCATATAAATTCCATCATTAGAGATCCCATTAATTTTGTATTCAATTGCAATGTCTTTAGTTACATCTCTTTGCATTTGTGTTAAAGGAATAGGCCACCGTTTTTACACACTGACATATGTTCTTACCTTACCTTAGACTAGTTGATATGTACCCGTCGGGTCTTTGTCCATGCGCTCTGTCATGCAAACGAAGCACAAACGCAGCCTCTTCCACATACTGTCTAGTTCCAAATCAGCTCCCGTTAGAAGCTACCAAACTCTTCCACGTTTTCCCTATTTAAATACAGTTACTATACTTTGTAGTGTAACACGTCACGTAACACAGAAATCACTTCCGTCAATAGAAGCAGCATGAGCGGGAGAGAAGTCTTTAGGAGTTAGTGCGCGGACGTAGTGCTCCTCGTATTACTACGCCTCACAATATAGTACCCCTTTTTATCCACTGAGAAAATCGTCATGTTACATTTCTGTGTTACTATACTTTGTAGTGTAACACGTCACGTAACTATTTAAATAGGGAAAACGTGGAAGAGTTTGGTAGCTTCTAACGGGAGCTGATTTGGAACTAGACAGTATGTGGAAGAGGCTGCATTTGTGCTCCGTTTGCATGACAGAGCGCACGGACAAAGACCAGACAGGTACATATCAACTAGTCTAAGGTAAGGTAAGAACATATGTCAGTATGTAAAAACGGTGGCCTATTCCTTTAAAGTTTGTATAGAGACTTTCTATAACTCCCCCTATGGACCAATACCCATGTGTTCTATATTCTCAGTGTACGAAACTGATTCACTAATCTGTTGGCGATTACAACGGTTTTGTTAAATCCTTTGAGATAATTGCTGATGTGCTTTAGGGCTATACATGAATACATTTAATTGATTCTGAATACTTTCTACAGTCCTAGGTTGAGTCCAATTTTACAATCTAATGAGACTACCACAGCAAACTTTTGTGATTTAGTGGCAATAAAAGGAGTAGCGACTCACCCTGGCCAGTCTATGCTTGGGCTCGTTCTTCTTAGCGTAGTCTAAGGAGTCGTACACCATGGCGAAGCCTGTAGTCTTTCCGCCTCCAAACTGAGTTCTGAAGCCGAACACGAACACCACATCAGGGGTGGTCTTGTACATCTTGGCGAGCTTTTCCCTGATTTCTGTTTTGGGAATTGTGGCCTTGCCTGGGTGCAAGACATCGACGACCTGCAGGAAAAAACATGTACACTTCAACCCCTGAGCAATATCTGAAAATAAGCCATCATAGAAGAGCAAGTACCATTTGCTTCCTCTGAAGCAGCCGGTTCGTCATGAATTTCCGGGTCCTGACGGTTACTGTGTCGTTCTGCAAAGACAAAATTTAAACCATGGAATAATACAATCTCACATTGGAAAGGGTACATTTCTAGAAATACAATGATTTCAAATCCTAGTAACTACAAGGGATTCAATTTGACAATAGAAGTCATGTATACCAGCGCTGCATGTACAAGAACACTTTAGAAAAAGGTATCACTACAATTTGATAAATACCTCGTCAATCCAATAAATCAGTATGTAAACAAATGATCAAGTTTTGACAGTACGATTCTCATAGGATGTAGTGAATAATTTCAATAGATTTCTAGCATCCCCATTTCACTGCAGGACACATGCAAAACCATGCCTCCTCCAGAATTCTCCATACCCAAACATTTAGTTCATTGAAACACCATATAAAATATGTGAGAAAACTTAGAGGATGACAATTTTTGCAGTTTAATACTTAGTGTTGTCTCTCCCCATGCTAGGTGCTATTAGCCAGAATTATTTGCTACCGCGTTAGCATCACAGCTAGGGTGACAGTAAGCGCTTCTTGGACTTATTCCGCGGGTTTTAAAGCCACTGTAGCATATTACATGGAGACTTGGAGGTGGATTATTGCATACGGTGAGGTGCTGTAGAGAAATTGGGTTAATAAGAAGCAAAGAGGTAGCGTTGGTGTAGTCCACAAGCACCATGTATGCACTGAACGTCCGGGTACCATTTGGTTTGAGCAGAATTAATCATATGTGATTAATCTGTCGGTAATATCCACCGTATCATACACGGTAACAACATATAAATGCTTAGTGACCGAGACAAGGGTGTTGGTAGGAGGATGGCCGTGATTATTTAAGGATTTAGATCCAAAACTCTGGCTCAGACTCACCATCCTGACGCCGGCCTCGCGGAGGGATGTGGAAGAGGAGGAAGGACCCGAAGGCGTCCGAGTATATGCCTGTCGAAAAAGGTGTGTATGGCTCCTGATGTGCCTGTGGAAAATCAAATGCGCACTTTGTTTGTTTACACAGCATTTATACGTGTGTTTGATATATGTGTTTGTTTATTTTTGTAAACATTATCCACACAATTCAGCAGTCATGTGATGTCAATTCAACAAATAATTGAATGTGTAAATACAAAACAAAGATCTGTAGGTTTATTAATATATACAGTCTATGATTATGATACAGACAATACCGACACGTGCATATATTTATTTCTGATACATTTTATCGCGCATGCACGTACTAAACATAGACTGTAAATAATAAAACTAATCGGTACAAACCATGGATCTAATGGCACAAACTTGAAGATGAGATTCCGCTAATAACGGGTTTCGTACACGGGTAGAAAATGACCGCGGTAAAGTGGCCCGCATCTTCCAGCTCTATGAACAAGCGGCCCGCATCGGGGAAAATACGGTGCGCGTTTCTTTGAGAACTTACGGTAACAGCGGAACATCCTTTCGGAGTCACCCATTTTTATCGAACAGAAAGCGCGCTGGGGTCTGGGAGACACGTTTTTGTGATTAAAACCTTATAGAGATGCCACCCGGTACACATAGCACCAGCCCCCTACGATTCCTCCTGCAGATTGTGAGTCCTCAGGAGGATAGCCACTCTATTGTTTACATAAAGTACACAATTTGGTCCGCTAGTGCAATTTTCAAGTATTGTAACTATTTACTGGAATATGGTGTGCGACTAATTTCACTTGACTCATGACCTTATTATTGCCCTCTACCACTATACCAAAGACCAGAAACTTTTACTGTAGAAATATTGAGAAATATTGATTTAAACTAGCCCTTCTGGTCCAAAATAGCCTAAAAATGGTCAAAACATGTCACTTTTCATCTACTGTAACTTCTTACTGTAAAAAGGTGTGCGACTAATTTCACTGGATTCATGACCTCATGATTACCCTCTACCACTGTACCACTGTTGCAGACGAGTGTGAAGCGGCTGGGATGAGAATCAGCACCTCCAAATCAGGCCATGATGCCTGACCGGAAAAAGGTGCCTTGCCCTCTCGAGTAATGAGTAATGATTAATGAGTAATGATTATTTATATAGCGCATTTATATATATATAAAAAAAATTATATAGCGAAAAAAAAGCATCTGCGCATGCGTCAGCCGGCGCAAGCTCCATTCATTTGAACGAGAGACTTAAAAAATTCACATCAAGTAAAGTAGAGTGGTCCAAAAAAAAATCACCCCCCTCAGCATTGACACACATGTGGAACGGAGCTTTGGGCCAAGAGCCAACTTTTGGACCATCCTTTTCGAGAGGTTTGCCAATGCTATATGTTAGCTTTGGCTAATTCTTATTCTGGGTCCACCCCCATCGGCCCGGGGTGGTATTGCAAGCATGTCAGCGCATCATTTTGGCCACTTTCGAGCCGGGACCCGCCACCACTGATCAGCCCCCAATCTTCACTATCCATTAATACCTATTGAGCATGTTTATAGTGGTAGGGAAACCGGAGCACCCGGAGGAAACCTATGCAGACACGGAGAACATGCAAACTCCACTCAGTAAGGCACTGTTCCGACTGGGATTCGAACCCAGGACCTTCTTGCTGAGAAGCGAGAGTGCTATCCACTCAGCCACCGTGCCGCCAAAGTGGAGAGGTCCTTCCTCACGTGGAGGAGTTCAAGTATCTCGGGGTCTTGTTCACGAGTGATGGAAGGATGGAGCGTGAGATTGACAGGTGGATTGGTGCAGCGTGCGCAGTGATGCGGCCACTTTCGATTTACCCGTCAATTCTTGTTCCCTCCATCACCTCTGGTCATGAGCTTTGGATAATGACCAAAAGAACGAGATTGTAGATACAAGCGGTGGGAAAGAGTGGTTGGGCACTCGCTTAAGGTGTTTTCACCCCGGACTCAACTTAGACTTGAAAAGCGTCAGTTTAGCACTGAAAATGAATAGTGAAGCGCGTCAGGTGATGCTGAGAGGCCCGGCGTCACTTGAAGCGCTTCAAAATACGCGAGCATTATGCGCGTCACTTGAAGCTTTTGACACGCGTAATGCTTGCGTCTCTTTTGTCGTAAAAAAAGTCCCTTAACGCCGAAGTTGAGAGAAGCTTTTGGAGCTTGACGCCGGGCTTCAACCAATCTGGAGACGAGGAGCAGCAGCAGCAGCAGCAGCAGGGCTGTCATGTAGCTGCTACTGATTTTTCATTGTCATTATTGTTATTTGTAATATTATTTGTATGAATAGTAACGTTCTTAAAAAGTAAGTAACACAATCAATGTACATATGCTGTGAAGTTAAAGTAATTTATTTAGTATAAGAACAAGCTAAAGCTGGCTCAGACACAGCAGACTGAAAGACAGGCGCTCCTCCGCGGGAATCAGTGCGAGCTCCAGGCGGGAGCGAGAGAAGCTCCTCCCACCCGGCGTCAGGAGCTTCAAGCACCAAGGAGCGTTCACACCGGACCCAGCGTCAAATATTGCGCGTCAAAAGCGTTTTGAAGCTATTGGTCTGAAAGCACCTTTAGAGATAGGTTGAGGAGCTCAGTCACACGGAAGGAGCTCGGAGCAGAGCTTCCGCTTGACGACTTGTCGAGCCTCCGCTTGTCGACAAAAGGGACAAAATACACAAAAGGGGCCGAAGCCCCTTTTGTGTATTTTTTACCAAGGGGGGTACTTTGACTAATTATTTCTCAAAATTTCCACAATAAAAGTTACAGTAGACCAAAAGTTACATGTTTTGACCATTTTTAGGCTATTTTGGACCCAAATGGCTACTTTAAATCAATATTTCTCAATATTTCTACAGTAAATGTTTCTTGTCTTTGGTACAGTGGTAGAGGGCAATCACGAGGTCATGAATCCAGTGAAATTAGTTGCACACCTTTTTACAGTAAAAAGTTACAGTAGATCAAAAGTGACATGTTTTGACCATTTTTAGTTTATTTTGGAAAATGGCTAGTTTAAATCAATAGTTCTCCAAATGTCCACAGTAAAAGTTTCTGGTCTTTGGCACAGTGGTAGAACATAATAATGAGGACATAAATCCATTGAAATGAGTCACACACCTTTTTACAGTAAATAGTTACAGTAGATCAAAAGCGGGAATGTTTTTACAGTTTTGTGTATTTTGCACTAAAGTGTACTTTGTCTCAATTTTACCCAACATTTCCACAGTAAAGGTGTGTGGTTGTAGGCACAGCGTTGAAGGCAGCTATATCGAGGTCATGAACCCAGTGGAATAAGCCACACAAGTCTTTACTGTAAAAATGGACAGCTGCTGAAAATTTCACTTTTTGACCAAATTAAATGCTTTCCAAATATGGGTTTATTCACAAAAACGAGTCTCCTCAGCGCGCTTTCTGTTCGAGGAGAAAAGGTGACTCCGAAAGGCTGTTCCGCTATTACCGTAAGTAGTCAACAAAACGCGCACTGTTTTTCTCTCGATGCGGGCCGTTTTACTTCGGAGGTGAAAGATGCGGCCCACTTTACCGCGGTTAGAAAATGCTACATGATTATTGTTTTTCAGCATTATCTTTTAGCACAAGATGGCGCAAAGTTGTTCAGAACACGCCATAGTCATACCCGATGACTATCACTCATTCGAACTGTAAATAAGCCTTTGGATATTTTTCGGGAAGCCAAACAGCTCAGGGTTTGGTTTATACTGTGATGGGTGACATTGCGTCGTTTGGGGTCACTTGTGTGGTGGTTCTGCTTCATCAGTCTGCCTCAGGGCAGCGACAATCATCAACCAAGGCTATGTCTGGCAACTTTGTAAAATTCCTTTGTGATGTCTATGACAAGCACACATAAAACATCTATTACTAATGTAGACTGGCATTATACTGGCATTTCCATGAGATGTATAAGGGAAAAAAGCTGTCCACAAGTAATATTGTTAAGGAATTGTTTATTGATCTTGCTGCGACAGTGTCCAGTAGCATTGAAGTTTAATCAAAAAATGTTATTTGAACCAGATTGTAAAGTTACAGTAAGTTTCGTTTCAAACTCTCAACACACAATGTTAAGCCCTCAGTGTCAAACCCAACTGATTCAAAATAATTTGCATTCTTAATTCAATAACGAATATCCTTGTTTCAAAAATGTGCAATGCATAACAGTCTCACACAGTCCTTCACATACAACATCACAAAGCCGGATTGAAGAAATAAATCATATTTGCTGTTCTCCTCCAGCCACGCCGTGAAGCACACTTGATCATAAATGAAATGACAGAGTAGAAAAAGCAGAGACAGTACTGTGATTGTGGTGTTACATTTCCTAGGTACAAATGAGCATGTGGCACTCTGTTGAAGCCAAGCAGACTCTGAAGTAGCCTCCAAAATAAAAACTATATGTATGCACAGCTGCTCCTTCAAACTAACAGTCCAAAACGTTTTTTTTTACTTGCTAATTACAATATTAGCTCGTTACAGTGAAAAAATAAACCTCTTTCGGAAAGTACAAATTTCTGATGGTGATTTACTGCATTGGTGCGACGTAAGGCATGGGCACATGTGAGTAGTTTAAGGACACTGGGAGATACTTGTATGGGAATAAGTCTTGACAATGCAAAACATAATAGTACTCTGGTTCCATGGCGCTCCTTCTCAGTTACACCAAAAACAAAAACATCACCATTCTAACGGAATCAAACATAAAATGCATATAAACATCTTGAACTTCAAGTTTTTTTCAACAATCGTGCACCTGTATCACCCCTTTTGTAATTCTGGAATACGACCTGGACCCCGTCATTGACTTTGTTTGGACACGAAATTTAAATAAGATAGCAGTCATCAAGTTAAACTAATTGCTTTCATAAAAAAATACAATCAATTATTATTAGTTGTAGTTTTAAAATCCATAACCTAGGATTTCAGTGGATATATTTAAAGTGCTTTCAGCCACATCTCAAAACAAAAATGAAAAAAAGGTCACCGCTCTGATATTGCGTGTGGATTCCTACCTTACAGCACTTAAATACTCAAATGTAGTTTTAAGATGTGGCAAAAAAAGCATCGGGATATATTTCAGAAGTGCTCCTAAGGCTTTGAACAATGTAATTTTGTGATTCAAAACATTGGAATGGTGTTTTTGTTACCTAAAAAAATACAAATAAACCCATGGCATCCCATACAAAGCCCGTTCAAGTAGTACTTTCAAAATGACCAAACATAGAATGCTGACGTACTAAGGAATACCAAAGCTTTTTGAGAAGATTATAAGGCCAGTATGGAGAATGACCACTTGTTCCACCAATCACAGCTTGAATGCGTGCACTAGAAATGTGGAGAAATGATCACCAAAAGCAGTATATGACTTGAGGTCTGGACTGGACATGAAGTTTAGGCCCTTTGTACGCGCAGTGACTGGTGACCATGGAAACCCATTCAAACACACAAGCTCCCACAGTGGCCAGAGCACCGCGCTGTACCCGAAGTGCCGTGGGTGACTACACGTTACATCCAGAGCAAAAAGAAGATGGCTGCCATGAGGGCTCACAACATTGGTTTCTACAAGCCAAGCCTCTGACACTGGGTGCCAGGTCATATGCTTATTTTTCTGTTGCGCTGGTGGAGGTCCAGTTTGCTAGATGTCCATTTCAAACTGGGCGTCGTCACCTTCAGGGAAAAAACAAACAGTTGTCAGTCATCACCATGATGTTGTTCAAGAAGAGTTTACATTTGGAGATGCTATAAAGACACAGTTATTATACATTCTGAAATGTTTATATAGTTGGATACTTTTTATAGCTTGTATACACTAAAACGTTTACAATACACCAGCTACATTTGAAAAGAAAGACTTCGATAGAAGCCGCAGGTATTAAAGCAAGGACAGTGAGTGCTGCAGAGGGTACGATGGCAGAAGGCTTGCTAACAGGTGCTTTTCAAAGACAGGGCAATCTAAGCAGATATAGAATGTGAAAAAAAGAAGGAAAATGTTTGAGGCACTCTGTTAAAGTGAAACTGTAAAAGTCCTCTTTTAAAATGGACTGAAGCCGCAGGTATATTCTTTTCTTATTTTCAATCTCATCATTTCACTTTAATTGTTCCACACAAAGCATTGAGACCTCATTGACCGTGACCACTCCCTCCATCTATAATCACATTTGTATTGTCAGATATAAAAATACACTGTAGACCTTTTGGACTAAGAGTTTGGACTTTGGACAGTTTTTGTCCGTCCTGTTTGGCCGTGTCAGCTGCTTTCCACCATAAATAAACACAACTTTTATTCTTTTCCATTTTGAACAGAACAACAACAAAAGCCGTTGGATGAGTGCGTTGTGTGAGGGTCAGCGCAGTACCAGTGGGCTTGCCCTCGTGGTTCATGTGTTTGTTGACTTCGTTCTTGCGGTTCTCCGTCAGGATGCTTTGGCTGGTCACTCCGGGGATGACGGGCAGGTGGGCCGGGGGGGTTTGGGCGATGGGGGAGTTGCGCCTGTCCAGTAAGAACTTTCGGTCGTAGATGATACGGGTGCCTGGAGACGACAAAACTCAGATCAATCCAAACTCAAAGAAACATTATGATCAAAGTATGACGCGTGCAAAATGGTTAGTATAAAGAGAGTGCTAAAAATCTATTTACAAAAAACATATCTTTATTCATGTAATAATCATCATTCAATGACATGTAAATGCACCAACAGTGTTGTATTAAATGGGATGGAGCGTTATATAAAGGGCCAAAAGTCTTTTTTTTACTGAATCGTATTGACTACTACACCCTGTAAGAAGGTAACTAAAGTAACTAGGCACATTTGGTGTTAAGCTTTGTCCGAGAGCTCATCTAAAAATGTGAGGACAGAAAACCTGACATTTGAAAACGGTGAGAGCGAGGACATGGATCATGATGTTTGTTACATATTTTTTATGTTAAAATGAGGTTCCTCATGTACTGTTTTCTAGTTTGGAACATTCCATTATAATACTCTGGGACAGAGGCCTTAGGCCTGCACGGGTTTGGAAACAAGTGTTTAACCAAAGTAAACATGAGATAATGCTAGTTTCATTTACACAATAGAAACAATTTATTTCCAAATATGACACACTTGTATTGTTGATACATCAAAGTTTAAATGACCAAAAATGTGTTTTGGTTCCAGTTGTCTTTGCATTTTGGATTAAATCGTGCTCCTGCGACTGGGTAATGGTTTTCTATTTTAGAACTTTGAGAGACTTCCTCTTTGTGTTTTCTCCCTGCTATAATACAATATGATGCGTCTCATCTGGAGAAAAGGCAGTTTAACACTTCTGTAACACTTTATAGTCATTCAACTCTGCGGACACTCCTCCATTCAAACAGCTAACTTTCACCCACATAGATACAAAAGGTTATTGCAACATGGAGGAGGGCTGGGGTTGCAAGGATTTCTCACTGCCGTAAATCAGAATATGTATTTGTTTTCACAGAACAGCTCATGTTTTAGAAAATATGCACAATCTGTAACATCTGTGCAATTCTTAAAGACATAAAAGTACAACACTAGATTCTACTATGATCAGGCCTAAATAACAGCAGTGTATGGATTAAAAGTGCTCAAAGGCAAAGCTGTGGCACTGCTTCTACACCCTATTAATAACAGGTCTCGTTGTGTGGAGCCACATCAGACGCCTTCTTCTTTTAGACCAACTGAATGACAAACCAGTCCGGCTGCACTTCACTTCACAACACCTCACGCACGCAGCGCACGTGACTCTATTTACGCTCATCTTTTGCAGAATCCTCAACAAAAACACACACATCGGGCAGAGGAGCTACTGAACATGAACAAGAAAGTGCAGTTTTCCTCCAGATCCGTGCGTGTGTGCAGGCTCCCGGGGCTGCGATCGCGCACGGAGACAGAGGGCGGAGCCTGGCTTTGTTTTTGTTTTGGACGGGATGACAAGGCTGCGGCCAAGGCCACGGAGGTTGTGTAATGAGTAAGTTGCACGGAGCAGAATGCACATGACGCTCTGGATGTGAGAGAGAGCGTAAAACAGCGCGTACCTCCGGGAGTGGTGGAGAATAAAGTGCCTCCGGGGGTGGTACAGTAGTCATGAGGTAGCTGCGTTGTGTCGTTGATCAGCACGGTCCTGGTCGGGATGGCCCTGCTCTCGCTCAGCTGACGACTGTTCGACATGGCGCTGGTCTTGGGGCAGGTGTGACGGCTACGCGGACTGCTGCTGTGGATCTACCCGTGGACAGTGGACCAGTCCCCTCTCTCTCTGGAATCGTCCCGAAGGCTTTCTGTGGTCGCTCCTGTCGTCCACCCAGCCGTCAGCGCGTCCTCCTGCAGCAGCAAGGCAGGAAGCGAGGCCCTCGCAGCAGGGACGTGACGTACGCGCCCCGCCCACTGACGCAGGCTCACGGACATAAACATCATATTTACATTAGAAACATACATGGATTATTTAATTTACATGGTTTTTGATTATTACAATAAAATGCAATATTACAATAGTATTATGATCCAAATTAATAAAGCAATGTTTGTAGCGATCGATTTAAAGCTGAGGTACCTAACGTTATTTTATAATACTCTGAAACAGTGTCTCCCTAAAAAAGATCTGCCAGAATTTGTAAAAAATATAACCTGTGTTTTCCTGTATCAATAAAGGATATAATGCATTTTAACCATTGCACGTTAGAGAGAGAGATGCAGTGTCTCTCCACTTCCCCCTGGCCACACAAACAGGACGTCACTCTCACATTAAAACGGAAAAAAACAGTGTTTGGATCAGGATGAAAGCAACAGCACGTCAGAAACAGAAATTATCTGAACACAGAGTTTCTGAAGAGGTCAAGACCAGTCAGCGCAACAGAGCTTCACTTTGCTTGGACTATGGTAAGAACATTTCAAATAACAGGATATATACTGCCACAAAAGAAAAAAACATTTAGAGATGGCCATAGACAACCAGAAAAGTAGAGCACCTTCATGGACATGAGATCAATGGTGCATCAGCACGTGTGATTATTATGAGATCAACCAAACAACAGTACCATGAACAGCGAAATCTACGTTTTAAATATTTATTTCCTAAAAACATCAAGTTTGGACACTCTCACTCCCGGCCTCCCTCAGAGGAGACGAGGAATACCAAAAAGACAGATACACGCTTCGGTAGAAGCAACACTACACACACTGTACAGTAGATGGCGCTATTGCTTTGATATAAAACCTGCAGTTCCATCAGCAGCGCTCATACTCCCCACAGGAGCGCTCCGTGCCCGGGGAGAGAGGAGAGAGGAGGGAGAGTAAAGGGTGAGAGAGGGAGAGGGGGAGTAGGGAGAGGGAGAGAAGGAGAGGTTAGAGAGAGGGGGAGAGGGCGCTCCGCAGACTGAAGACATTTAACATGTTTGTTTATTGTACATCGGGAATACCGTCACTGTTATGACACTTGGAGAAGTATATGATCCAAGATCAGAGGTGTCCAAACAGTGGCCCAGGGGCAAATTGGGGCCCTCATACCAATTTCCCTGGCTCAGGCTTGACCGACATTATGAATATATCATAACATCAATAATATATGGGGTAGAATAGCTCTGAAATGTATGACATGAGATTGGATATGGAGTTAAATAACATTCAACAAATTCTCAATTTCTTTTGGACATCCAGAGGCGAGACATTTCTCTTGTCTTTGAATTGAATTTAGTCGAAAGAGTTTCTCAATATTTGTTAGATTGAATTCAACTTAAATTGGTGAATGCAGGTAATGCCAGGTTTCAACAAAGCACAGTAAATAGTGATCAGTGAGCTGTGGAGGATCACGGTGTGATCAGTCTGCTCTGACGTCTCCAGATGAAACCATGACTGTGTTTGGACTTTTGTGTCGACAGGACGAGAGTGACTCAGATCAGAATGTGGAAAAAGATGAAGATAAACTCCTGCACTGCGACTGATGCCATGAGATGGAGCCATTTCCATCAGCCATTTATACACTAATAATACCTTCACTATTTCTTCACAATGTTTTCAGTCAAAGCATCAGTGTTTGTGCCACCTCTGGGAGTCATGCAAATTGGGATCTACAATATTTATGTGTTATCAAACTATTAGACAGATGCACTGATAAACAAAACCATTAACTTGCAGTGTTGACAGGGGTGGGAATTTGGAAGATTTCTTCTTCCTCCCACTTCTTTTCGAGTTTAAATGATGTCAGTCTTGTAATAAGTAACTGTAAATGGATGATTGGATGTACATTGAACACAAAATAAACTCGACAGGGTGGAATTAGACTGATTCCCAAGCATTGAATAAGTGCAAGACTGTAGTATTTTGAAATATTTGATTTTCACATTTTCAGTTTAGAACAGACAACAAAGGACAGATATACCCACTCCCCCACTCACAAAAAAGGAGGCTCTAAATATGATATTAAGACTATTTACTTTAAGGATGCCGTGAGGTCATTATGTTCACATAATCCAGGTGGTTGCCACATTTCAACAAATGTGTCGTAGGCCTTCCTCAGGCTTTTTTCAATCCAGAGGGACACAGCGATTCATTTCTGAACACCATCTTGTTAGAGAAAGGTAGAATCAGACTTCTTAGTTTAGTTTGATAATTATTTATAGGGTTATCAATTTTCCTTAGCAGAGACACTTCAGGGTCGTCCTGCAGACTTCTGGAAGTCTGCAGGACGTATTTAAAGCATTTTATTTTATTTGTTCATTTAGCATTCACACTTACATCAGGAGTGCTCAAACCTTCCATCATGGCCTCTTGCTGAAGTCCAAGTCCAGTCTACTCTGTGAAAACTATCATCTCAAATAGTATGGAGCTTCAGTACAGGTTAGACGCAGCCGCATGGTAAGGGGACACAAAGATAAGTGATTTAGCTTCGTAAATATTTGATTATTGGGGAAACTCATTACTAATTTTAGCCGTGTGAGCAGAAGAGTGAAGAGCCCATGACACATCCTGAGGGACACAATTTCCAGATAGTAACTTACATTGCACTTTCTCACTAATACACAAACTTTTAATGACGTTCAAAGAATAACCCGCAATAAGCAAAATCCGCAGCAGCAGTTATATACGGTTTAAGGCTGTAAAACCCCTCACCACACAATCTATACACTTTTCTAACTACCTAAACTCACAACTGCTGAACTGCGATCCAAACCTGTTGGTTGTAGCTCTGAGCCCTGCTGCAGCTGTCAAAAGCCGAGCATACAGTGTTTTTTTTCATACAGCTGCAGAGGACACTGAGGGGCAGGAGCAGGACTGAGGACAACGGGAAGACCATGGTCGTCCTCTGAACTAAAACGTTTCTCCTGACTCTTAATACAGAATAGTCATGTTATACTAGATTATTTGATGTTGTGTATGACCTTTATGGAATACACACACGGCAAAGAAGAACGCTGTAAAAAGCACGCAATTTTACAAAACATAAAATTTGCAAAATTTCCCCAAACTCATAATATTTACTGTGTTTCCCACTGCATGGCACAGAGCTAGAGCTGTTGAATATCATAAATATTTCTTAGACGGGCAGCCGCAGCGCTCTGTGGGGGAAGCAGATAAAGGCTGAGTGACGGAGCTGTCGCGTGGCAGCTTCAGACTGAGGAGGGAGGAGTGGACAGAGTGGACGTTTGTTTACCCAGAAGAAAGGCAACTCTAGAATGATCCAACTGTAGAGGCTTGTAAAGGCGTTTCATGGCAGAGAAAGTCCTTATATCTTAAGTCCATCCAAGCGGTTTGAAGTGGAGTTAATCTCAAACACAGACCGAGAGAAGTTCAGAAATAATGCTTCAGAGAGACGTAGATGGAGAGAAGCTGGAGGCATTAAGTCGTTAGAACAGCAGCAGTTTGTCACATGTATCTAACTGTCAGGATTTAAAGTTGTAAAGCTCAGGCTGTCCTTCCTCACGCAAACAAGCATCAACTCAAAAGAGAAAAACACTGATTTTGAACGACCATCAGAGAAGCTTCCCCCAGGACTGGTGTTCTATGACGGAACACAACATCATAGTATTTGACTTATCACAATAGAAGAAGGAACTTTCCCAGAATCAGATTTGTTATCTAGGTCATAATCTAGGGAATGGCTTTGGCTCTTGGTGCAAACAAGTTAAACATTAAAAATAGAAAGGTGCAGAAAAATATCTACATGACTTTCTATAGAGCAACCATAGCTTCACACATGTTTTTCTTACATCTTTTTATTGCATCTATATCTGTTATTAATTTTAGTAATGCTAATATATTATTACGTTTCAGGGCTCCATCTTGTGTCAGAATCACGTCAAATTTCTTAAAACAAAATCTCTGGCACTAATGGGTTAAAATCACATTGAATCAAGTATAATGTTAGTAACCCAAGTCTTTCATCCATTCATTCCATTCAATGCATTTTTCCACAGCCCTAATATGACACAGCAGTTCAGGCTCAGAGGACTTTACCAAGTTGTCAATTCGCTGACACAGATCATAGAATCAAACAACTTTCTTCCACTTTATCTGGGGCCGGGTTGCAGAGATGCCACACTTTCCTCCCCGCTCACAAGTGTTCCCAGACCAGCTGAGACCTGCCCTAGGACAGCATTCCCAGATACATTTCTCGATACAGGAGATGGAGAGATGGGTCCCTGGGCGCTGGACTACGGCGACCACTGCTCCTGCCTGAGGCTCTAGAGGCATTCAGGATGGGGCAATTACAAATAAAGCGGACAATAAAGTATACTGTACCTTAATCTTAACGTCTCATCCCCTTCGCAGTGAACTTGAACCTCTGCACCAGCTGGATAGGACAACATTTTTTATTTTATTTGTTGAATTTTTTTTTAGAATGTAACTTATTGTTTGGTGACAGAAGCACGTGCGAATAGAAGATCATAAAACCATCTTAAATGAAGTCAGGTAATAATAAGAACTATTACACCATTTTGAGCACCATCTTTAAAAATATTCCATTCCATTTTCCTCCACTTCATCCATTGCCGGGTCGCGGGGGCAGCAGTCTATTCAGAATCAGAATCCTTTTATTGCCATGTCAGTAACAAGAAGTCACAAACTAAGAAATTGCTTTGGCTCTCGGTGCAAACAGTTAAAGCAGAATAAAATCAAAGGCATGCATGAATAGAAATCTACATACATCTCAGTTTGTTTGTCTTCAGTTTACTATA